GTAGGTTAGGTACTAACACTTGACTGGGATTCTGTGATTAATAAAATTAAGACTAAACCCAAGTATACCACTGCAAGATTTCAAGATACACGTAAAAATATTTACGTAAAAAGTGTTTTAAAAGAAAATTCGTTATTTATTTATTTATTTATAATCAGAATAATAATTAAAAACAGTTCCCTAGTGTGGGATAATACTTGCGTAGACACTTTGGCAGCCTGTCATCTCAGGGGTACCTCGTTTAGAGCCGGGGCGACATTAGAGTTTAGTGGCACTAATAGAGTCTCTAAATATTTGTGCCATTTACTATAGAGACTATCGGCCCGTGGGGTCCACGTGACATGAAGTTCTTAAAGGAACCGTATCACGTCGTCGCTGCTGCTGATATGAGGGCTGGTTCTTTTCTCGCTTCATTCAGCGAGGAAACGCAGAAAGCGTTTTTAGCTGTATTACACGGGGGAGTAGGACTTTATGATAATTTAAGTTTTTAATTTTATTATTTTTACCATGGTCTTACGCTATACAGTCCTTTTTACTGGAAAAGAGGCATTCTATTTTAGTCCTCACGGCTGACAACGCAATCTGCATTTTAATTCGTAAACGAAGATATATGTAGATGTATATGAGCCACAGCGACCACTTACGATCAGGTGGACTGTGCGTTTATCTATTAGTATATTTCGTCGCTCGTTTATCTATTAGTATATTTATTCTATAAAAAAAAATACAGCCTATCATAACGCACGGCTGAACATAGATTGTTTCATAGGGGGGGGCCACGCTTGGAAGGCGGGTTGGCAACTGCAGTTCTTTTATTTTTTTATTGATATATTTTTTTGAAGTTTATGGCCTGGTATCTAGACCTTTAGGCCAATTTTTTTATTGATATAAGGAAGATAATGTTGCCCATTTCCTAGTTTGTTTTCCTCTGTCGCCTTTTACGGCATCCACGGGACGATATGGGCTAGTGAATATTCTTACACCGCCACTTTAAACGTAGTGCTCCCAACAACTACCGGTATAGATGGGACATGGACGTTACGCATAACTTTTGTATAAGTAATCCATTTTCATCATATTTTCATTATAAGTCATATCCCAACGGATATGTTGGGAGAAACAATTCATATAAGACCTTCGTAGGTGAATGATGTACTCGCCATTAATTGTCAGCTTCTTTAGCTGACTATTATACAATACTTATTTTAATTTAAACTCGGGACCTGTTGCTCTGTGGTCAAATAGGTACTGTGACAAACATCATTATTTGTGTTTAAATCATCACAATTACTTTAAAAACATACGTATTTGCTGATATTATTGAGGACTTTAATTGCCTTTTACAATATGAGCATACTTTTTACAATATGTCCCTCATACACATAACATGCAGCTGTCCGTCTCCACCTTAGAGTATTTATAATAATTTGCTAAGAAATACCTACTCTAAGTTCTCCACTTTCAACAAAATCCGTTTCATATAAACACGATCGCATTAGGATTGCAGCAATCTAGATTATATTATCATAGGTTCGGTCAAAGTGCTTACCTTCTACTGTTGTTGTAAACGACTTTCGAGTTAGTTCGCCCTTGATCAACCTGAATATTATTATGTTAATATGACTCGATTATTGATTGATTGTTGGCCCGGATTAGTAATAAGTGCATTTATTTGAGTTTTTTTGTACATAACGCGATTATCGAGTGGTGTATGAATATATAGTCCCGAGGGTTCCGTAAGAGTCGACAGAGGGAAACAAACCAGCTATGGCAAATGTACCTCCTATGAGAAATTCTATGGAGAAGGCGGCACCTCAATTTCTCAATGGAGGTGGCCATGGTATCTAGATATTCGGTATTCAACCAAATGGGATAAAAGTAACCGAATAGGCCGAAGACCGAATAATAGCCGAATATTCGTTGCAAGTCTAATTATTATGTGTAACCCGTGTGTTATAATATTGTTATAGTACCAGATTCGTAATTTCAGCACTTGACACAGAGATTTCATTGATAGAGACTTAATTCATTGATCATTTATTTATTTTTATTTATTTAAAATTTTATCACAAAAAATAAAAACGTAAAAAATAAAGTCATATGGCACACTTAATGCCTTAAGGCATTCTCTCCCAGTCAACCATTAGGCTAAGCAGAGATAAAGATATGGGAAGTAGTACAGCAAAAATAAACTAAACGAAGTTCGAATAAACGCACAGAAATCGTAATAATGTGTCTTATATATTTTATATATATGCCAGATAAATAAGGAAAATATGTGACGATAGATCCATTCTTTAGGAAAAAGCGTTAATTCACACTTGCAATGTTTTACTAAAATGTTCACGAACTTTGTTTTTAAACAGAAATTTGTTGGAAGCTTTTTTAATATCAAGAGAAAGCAATACGAGACAAAAAGAGGAGAAAACAATTAATGAGTATCTCCTAGGTATTGAAAATTAGACTTCAAGTACTCAGAAGCACAAGGATCGTTCAGGATAGTGAAGAGTGCTGAGTATAACATATCTGCGCTGACGGATAAGCAACCAGTTAAGCTGAGTACGAAAAGAAGATACATGGTCATATTTACGAAGACCATAAATGTATCTGATGCAGTTATTGAGGAGACGATCTAATGCGTTACGATGCTGTTGAGATAAGTCTGTGTAACACACATCTACATAGTCTATTATTGGCGGAAATTTTTCAGGCGATAAAGAGATGTGTTGCAGTAACTTTGCGGCTTGCCTCCTGGATCTGCTTGTTCCATGAAAGACAGCTTTCAACGTACATACCGAGATTCTTAACATGTGCAGAGTACAGGATAGCATTGTTGCTGTACAAAATAAATTTCAAAGTGGAGATATTTAATTTGGATAAGTATCTATGCTACCTAAAATGATCGCTTGACTTTTAGAAGGATTCACGTTAATTCGAAACACAATGGACCATTCAAAGATATAATGTAAATCTTCGTTTAGTAACACTATTGAATTATTGATATTGGATGGTTCCGCTTGTGTATATAGTTGTAGATCATCGACAGAGCACTTGAGGTTTAATGAGATAAAATTGATAAAAAATTAAAACAGAAGACACCCTCACCAAAGAATACCGCCTTGAGGGACACCGATTAATACAACACTTCAATCAAGAACATTATGGCCAGAACGTACGGCCTGTTGGTGCCTTCAACCATCGTTGTACCCACTTGTCATCCCACTCTTTATCTGCTGCTCTTTCGCACCTTGTCGCTGCCTCTGTATGTCAGATTCCTCGTGATTATTCAGCCAAAAGATTATTCATTTTGATTGATATACACTTATCCTGAAGGAGGATCGCCGTAACAGATACTATATTAAATGTATACAATGCACGATTAAAAAAAATAGATGTAATAGTTTATATCCACAAATGCTTATTGTCCTTGCCTAGCCGCACCTACATGACTTTTTCCACAGCCCAACAATCGTATCACGGCATACAATAACTCGTAGCTACTGTAACATATTATTATAATATGTACGTATGTTGTTGTCACACATGTGACCCTTCACACTGACACAGTGTATGTTGATATACCTAGTTCACTATAAAAGCCTTACCGTGTCCGATAGTGGGTCATACAGCACCTAGACTTTGGAGAGCTTATCTCAACATGATGTTAAAGGTGAGTTTCTTGAACAAACTATTATTTTTGCTATTTGGGTCACTTATTAGTTTTATGTCTGCCTTGTTGGTCTAGTGGTTGTAGTAGTGCGACTGCTGATCATGAGGTCCTGATTCGAATCCCGGGCCAGGCCAAAAAAATCAGTTTTTGAGTTTTTCCATCAAGAAATTCTCAGTAGCTGCCCGGAGTCAGGAAGTTGGTGGTGTCTCACCCCCGTGCCTCGGAAAGCACGTAAAGCTGTTGGTCCTGCGCCTGATCTCCCTCCGGTCGTGTCAGTTTACCGTCCCATCGGACTTTGAGGGAATAGAGAGTGCACCTGTGCTTGCGCATACACTTGGGCACTATAATCCCGTCCTGCGCCGATGGCTAGTCTCCGTTGAGACTGGCCGCCGTGACCGAAATTCGGTCTGGAGGACATTATTATTAGTTTTATGCATAATTATTATTAACTATACATGATTGTCATGTGCCAAAAAAATAGTTAGTAAGAAACTTAGTGTGCACTAATCCCTTAATTATAAGAAAAGTGTTATTTTATAATACCTACTATTGTTGATATTATGTTTTATTATATATTTTGTATAAGTATATATTATTTTCCTGAAATAAAAAATCATTAGTTTTTAAATCAGTGTAGTTTATAGAAATTGCATTGTACATAATGTCTTTGTTATGTACAATTTGTTTTGTTATGAGTGATCTACCTAAAAGTACAGTAAAAGACCAAATTTAAAATTAATGGAAACCTTTCTACATACTCGTAGATATTGTAATCATAGATAAATAAATACATGTGTATGTAACAAGCTACTAGTGAGGGCTAATAATTTTCTGCTCACCAGATGTCGCTAGTTGATACTGAGGTAAAGTTTTTTGTTACACAGTGTAATTTAATTGAGCAGTTGGCTTTTAATAAAAGTTTATCAGTTTGTTAGTTATCTAGAGTATTAAATTAATACACAAAACAATGCCTCAGTGGTTTACGCTTTAATTTTTTGCACATTTTTACTTTTTTTTACTTTTCTACTTTTATGAATATCTGTGGTTTGCTTTATTTATTTTTAATCTTATTAATATAAAATATAGCTAATAGTGCAGAAAGAAACAATAACAAATTAACTTCCCCGCTATGAAATCTGTCAAATATTATACCTCACTTTCTAGTGGCGTCGCCCTGGTGGCAGAAAAAGTCGTGGATGCCCTCGTTATAATTTAAGCTGCAGAGGAGGTTGTATATTAGACTAAAAATATTCAATTTCTTTATAACACAATATACCTCTTTTTTTTTCAAAATAATTAAATTATTATTTATTGATTTGTATATTTACAGGTATTTATTCTGGTGTGCGCAGTGGCGACGGCTCAGGCTGGGGGCATTCTATCACCCATTGGAGTTTATGGAGGCCTTGGATCTTGGAATCCTTACAGTTCATATCCAGCACAGCCAGCGATTTCTTCACAACATTCCAATATACTGAGATCACCATTTAATCTCGCACAGGTAAAACCACCAAAAACATAAATCTGAAAACGGGGCCAAGTCTGGTTTCAGCGTTATTGATATCGCCTATGAAAGTCCGCGATTTTTCCGGACCGATACGACTTAGGGACCTTCAATAAAAGAGCCTACTCCATTTTAAAAGGCCGGCAACGCATCTGCAATTCCCCTGGTGTTGCAGTTGTTCATGGGCGGCGGTAGTCACTTACCATCAGGTGAGCCGCACGCTCGTTTGCCCCCTCTCCTATAAAAATGTCAGATGTGAACAGGCGAATACCCACTACTCCTATACCCTATATCGTTCTGTTGGTGTCGTAGAGGTCGACTGAGGAAAACAAATTAGGAGATAATCCACCGGACTTCCTAATAAGAACTAAAACATTGAAAACACAAGTTACCAAACCCGCCTGCCAAGCGTGGCAACTATAGCAAACATCTCCCATGAGACAATTTATGGCCAGGCCTATGTTTAGCAGTGGACTTTTGATAGGGAGTAACGATAGGAATAAGTAATCTAAAAGTGGCCTAAGATTTTGATGAGTGAGCAACTATAAAAGTTTTATTCATGAATATATTAATTAGGTGTGCAAAATTACAATTTTTTTATAGGATAAGCGTGACAAACGAGCACACAGTCCACCTGATGGTAAGTGGTTACTGTGGCCCATAGACATCTACATCTATCTTCGATTACGAATCAAAATGCAGATGCGCTGTCACCCGTGAGGACTAAGATGGAATGCCTCGTTTCCAGTAAAAAGGGTCTCCGGTTCTGTACACTCACCATACGAAACACAACAGCGTTAAGCTGCTATTTTACGTTGGTATTCTTTGAGAGCGTGGTCCTTCCCAGGTCGAGCCGACCCATTCGTGCTACAACTATACTACTAATAGCTGCAGCATGGCTCTACCACGTAAAACCACGTGTTTCGATCTAATGGTTTAAGAGTTATGAGGGGTTCGAAATATTTTGGTTTATATACACACCGTGAAATTACCTATTTCCTATCACAAATAAGCGATCATTTCCCGGAACTGCTATAAACTTGTTTGTCTTATCTATATTTACCTTTCCGTTCAAGGTATCAACCTTCTCTAAGGCTGTTGACACACCATTCTCCAGCGTTCGCAAGTCTGATGTGCGAATCAGTAATCCTGGAGTAGCAATTGCGCCAGCTTATCACAGTTATGCGTCGCCTTTGGTATCGCACTATGGTGTAGCAGCACCTTTAGCTGCTCCCGTCGCCAAAGTAAGTACCTTATATCAAATATTATCGACACATTTTTAAGTTAGAGTAGTAGCCTTTGTAGACCTTTCCTATTTTTGGTTTATGGTTAAGTATATTAGGTAACCTAACCTAGGTTAGATTAGGTAAGGTTATATCAAATTGCTCAACAGTTACGCCGCAATATTGACGGCTCCGTGGCGCAGTGGCATAGCAGTGAGTTGCTGCGCTGGGGGGCCGCGGGTTCGAATCCCGCACGGAACAAGTATTTGTATGGCCTACAAATAATTGTTCCGGGTCTGGATGTTTGTCCTTGTGAAATTTATGTGTATTCATAATGCCCCTGGCATTATGAATAATGTCCTATTAATCACTTGGTCCATAACATATTATGTACACATATTTTATATTAATGTTTTGGTTAAGTCGTAGTTACTGCACTTTGTGTTAAAAAGTAATAAGATTATCTGTAAGATATTTTATATAAACACTAGTTTCACCCGCAATTATGTCCGCGTAGAACTTAAACAAAAAGACTGCAGGTCTTTGTGCATGTAGAATTTAACTATCGAACAAGTGGTAAAATTAAAAAATTTATACAACCGACTTCAATATAAATAAAATCGGAACATCATCAATGTAGTCGAAGTCAATTAAATACGCATTATTAAGGTTAACTCAAAAACTACTGGTCAGATCTTTATCAAATTTATATAGGACCACATGAGAAGCACCAGCTTTCAAATAAAAAAAGAATTAATAAAATCAGTTCACCTAGAAAAAAGTTGTGAGGTAACACACACAATAAATAAATTGAGAACCTCCTCCAACTTTTGGAAGGTAGTTGAAAATCATAGTTATCGTTAAACTCAGTTTTGTGATATTATCTCAAAAATAATGTGGGATATGGATAAAGATTTAAAATAAAATATTGAAGATCTATTATTTTACGAAAGAAAGATCTAATCATCTTAATATGTTTCTTTACTCACGTGCCTGGTAGGTACACCCATCTCATAGTTTAGTTGTAAAATGGTGTTGAAATAAAAACAAAAATGTTAAAATCGATTTTGTATCAAAATTTTTAGAGATAGACTTTGTAATATAACAGCGTACATATTTCCACAGGACACTTTTAAGATAATCATTATATATATAAAAATTACGTGTCACGTTGTTTGTCCGCGATGAACTCCTAAACTACTGAACTGATTTCAATGAAATTTTGCACACTGTGTGCAGTTTGCTCCAACTTGAGAGATAGCATAGTTTTTATCCTGATAAGTGAATCAATATTTTTTTACTACGAATTTGAGGACTTTTTATATGAAGAGTCGTCGAAACGGGCAGAACAACGTCTGCCTGGCCAGCTAGTAGAATATACATTATTTTATAATTCTTCAGATCTTATAATTTGTAAGTCCATATACTAAGAATTTCAAATTGCAGGTAGCTGGAGGTCTCCTAGGCGTGGCGTATTCTGCTGCCCCGGCTGTGTCTCACATGACATACACCAACGGTCTCGGTCTATCTTACGCTTGGTAATTTACAACGGTCTGCAATCATTATAGTGTAATTATTTTTATTACTGTGTAAAGAGCTCAATGATTCCTCTATTTATTACCTAATAGTCATTAACGTTATTTATTAAACTTAATTGTTTCTTTTTTTGTTTGTTTTTTTTATCATCATTTCAAATATAATTCACTAAACGTACTTAAACAATTTAAAAGTTTCGTAAATAATAAATTTTTCTTTAAAAATATTGAATAAACTAAATACAGTTGATTGGTAAGTGAGCGTCTCGATTTTCGAAGTTTCGAAGTCTTACCAGTGTTAAAACAGCTAGACTAGTTGTAGCTAGACTGTAGCTATTTCCATAGCATAATGTCGTATGATATTTTGCTATGGGGACACGCAGCTGACACTGAAATTATATTTGTTTTACAGAAGAGAGCCATAAGAGCAATTTATGATTTAAAGCCTAAAGAGTCACTGCGACAAAAAAGAAATTAATATATTAACTTTGGCGTCTTAATACATTTATGAAAATGTAATGTACGTACACAAAAATAAAAGTGGTTTTACAAAAATAAGTGATATTCATTCTGTAAATACTAGGAACAGACAAAAGCTAGTAGTACCAGTTACTCGACTCCACCGAGTCAGTAATTCATTCTTGGGGCGATGTATGTACGCATTTACAACAAAATTCCAGAAAATATACAAAATTTGACCTGCTCAAAGTTCAAAAACTTTAATAAACTAAGTTTGTATAAAAAGGGTTATTATAATATTAAAGAATTTATGGATGATAATAACCCGTGGAAATGTGGTGATCGCTACCAAGCTATTTCTAATTTGTTGTGTTGTTAATTTGTGCAACATTGAATTGGATTGTTTGATTTTGATTGATTGTAAGCTGTTATTTTTAAAAAAAGTTCCGCTGGGTTTCTTGCTGCTTCTTCCCAGTACAGAGGTTTTTTTTTCGAACCAGTGGTAATTAAACAAAAGATTGACTTTCAATAAGTTTTATTTATAATCACTCACATATGAAATGATAGTTCACGTGATTTTTGACTATATTTTGAAGCACAGCCACTTAGTCATCTTCTTACTTTATAATGAATTAGAAAATTCACTATAAACTGTTTAAAAATTCGCAAAATTTTCAAATTAAGAAATATCAAACGACTTTTTATAACAGCAAATCTGAAACAATAAATGGCGGAATCGGCGGCAAGGCGGGGTTGAATGACGTCATCTTAAAAATGTTTACCAGAATACGAAACAATTTCTATTATCTGTTTCATTTATGAATGACACTTAGACTTACATTTCGCTGAGTGAAAAAGAGATAGGCAGCATATTGACAGTTCAATGTCGAATATAACCATATTTGTATAACCAATAAAACATATAGACGCTCTGGGCAGCTCCTCTATTTTCTATGCTCAAAGATGTCAGCAATGTGGTTGAGTGGCGGTCTCTCTCTCATACCAGTGTTGCCAACAACTTAAAACTTGATATCGCCATTTTTCACGGATAGCCTAATATAGCCGAATTCGAGCTGAGGTAGCCTAAAGTAGTCCAAACATCAAAACATCGCTAAGGATAAATAAAAACGTAATTTTTAACAATTTATTTATTCATAGGATGTGCATAGAGTATCAAATTAAAAAAATCTGCAAACATCATCTGCTGCCAGCAGCAACAAAGCATCAGCAAGACCTTCATCGTCAAAATTTTCTGTAGCCTCTGCTGTGCTGGTGCTGGCGCAAATTTCGCTGGAACTGGAAACGAACATCTTTCTCCTAGTATGTAAACTGATCATATTATTGCATGGTTGAAAATTGTTGCAGCAAATATTTCGGACATTCATATGTACGGATTCTAAGAATTGCAATCAGCATGGGTAGTTATATTCTGTTCCTTACTTTTGTCTTTATCGTACCCATCACGCTAAAAATTGTTTCTACGATAGAATTACTTAAAGGTACTGAGAGACATTGCAATGAAAACTCGGCAAAATCTTTAAACATGGGATTCCCTCCAGCATCCTGTATTTTCAATACCTGTACCCAAAAATTTACTATATCATTGGGAGAAGCTGTACCGATAACTTCGATGCGCAACGTACTTAAAGAACGTCTTTGGTTCATTATAGTTTCACGGTCAATATTAGGTTACCGTAATTGCCATTACACGCCGTGTAGTGGCGGTTAAGAATATTCACTACACCACATCTTCCCGTGGGTGTCGTAAAAGGCGACAAAGGGAAACAGGCAGGAGATGAGCAGCAGCATCTTCCTGATAACAGCAAAAATACAATATAAAAACTGCAGTTGCCAACCCGCTCGCCAAGCGTGCCAACTATGGCAATATACCCCCCATGAAAGTAACGAAGAGACGGCCCCCAGTCCCCGGCGGCCCCGCTATTCCTGGCTACGGTGGCGACCATGGTAATGACGGGGCAGGGGGTGCTAAGAATCTCCGGTGGAGGTTCGGTTGCCACCTAAGACGACTCGACCTGGCAACATACAACGCACACACACTGAGGACTAACGAGAAGATTGTGGAGCTAGAAGAAGAGATAGACAAGTTACGCTGGCACATTATAGGATTATCCGAAGTCCGAAGAGAGGGGGAGGACACGGTAATCCTCGAATCCGGCAACTTGCTCTATCACCGGGAGGGCGACCATCTGTCCCAAGGAGGTGTCGGATTTATCGTCCACAAGTCTCTCGTTAACAACGTTGTAAAGATTGAGAGTGTGTCGACGAGGGTTGTGTACCTCAGAATCACCAAACGGTATTCTCTGAAGGTTATACAGGTTTACGCACCAACCTCGGCACACCCCGATGAGGAGGTGGACGAAATGTATGAGGATATCTCTAGAGCCATGCATTCCTCCAAAACCCAATAAACGGTGTTCATGGGAGACTTCAATGCAAAACTAGGCACAAGAGAGAACGGTGAGCTGAAAGTAGGGAAATTTGGAATAGGACAACGGAACCCAAAGGGCCAGCAGCTGGATGACTTCATGGAGAAAGAGGGACTCTTTATGATGAACTCTTTCTTCCAGAAGCGGCTCCACAGGAAGTGGACCTGGTCGAGCCCCGACGGTTCGACAAAAAATGAGGTTGACTTCATTATGACGACCAGACGACAACTGTTCAGTGATGTCTCCGTGATCGCGAAGGTGAAAACTGGTAGCGATCACAGAATGGTCAGAGGTACACTGAAGTGTACCTCTGACCATTCTGTGACCATGATGTTAAGTTGGAGAGGTCTCGTCTAATGAAGTCAACGCTCCGTCACCCTCGTGCTCTGTTCCAAAGTTCGGAAACCTTTCAGCTCGAGTTACAAAACCGTTTTCAGTGCCTAGAAGACTGCAATGAAGTGGACGATATGAATGACAAGATCGTGGAAACTGTCCATGCGGTCGGAGCTAAGTTCTGCAAGACCCGCCGCAGAAGAACACAAAAACTCTCCGATCACACTCTTAATCTCATGGCTGTTAGACGGGAGATGAAGCAACATTCTTCAACAGATTTGACAGCATACAGGCAACTGAACAGACAGATCTCCAAATGCATGCGGTGGGACTTACGCGACTTCAATACAGCTTGTATTGAAGTCGCGTAAGCGGAGCTTCTGAAAGCGGGTGGAAAACCGGAACAGAAGCGCGGTGGTCTTGTTCTTCAAGAAAGGCGACAACGCTCTCTTGAAGAACTACAGACCGATTTCTCTTCTGAGCCGCATCTACGTGCTGTTTTCGAGAGTCATTACGAATCGTCTCGCGCGCAGACTTGACGACTTCCAACCTCCCGAACAAACCGGTTTCCGATAGGGCTTTAGCATCATAGACCACATACATACCCTTCGGCAAGTTGTACAGAAGTCCGAGGAGTACAATTTGCCACTATGTCTGGCGTATGTGGACTATGAGAAAGCCTTTGATTCCGTTGAAATTTGGGCAGTGCTGCAGTCCCTTCAGCGGTGCCAAGTTGACTGTCGGTATATCGAAGTGCTGAAGTGCTTGTACAGAGTACGAAACCTATCCAATTGCAGAGAGGTGTAAGACAGGGTGACGTTATATCCCCGAAACTCTTCACCGCTGCATTGGAAGACGTTTTCAAGCTTCTGGACTGGAAAGGATACGGTATTAACATCAATGGCGAGTACATCACTCACCTTCGATTTGCCGACGATATAGTCCTTATGGCAGAATCGCTGGAGGAACTAAGCACCATGCTCAATGACCTCAATAGTGTATCCCAACGGATAGGTCTTAAGATGAACATGGACAAAACAAACATCATGTTTAATGTCCATGTCACACCTATGCCGGTAGTTGTTGGGAGCACTAAGCTCGAAGTTGCTGACGAGTATGTTTACCTGGGACAAATAGTCCGACTAGGTAAGTCCAACTTCGACCGAGAGGTCAATCGACGGATTCAACTCGGCTGGGCAGCGTTCGGGAAGCTACGACACATCTTCTCGTCAGACATACCTCAAAACCTTAAAACGAAATTGTACAACCAGTGCGTGTTGCCAGTGATGACTTACGGAACTGTGACGTGGTCCTTCACTGCTGGCCGTATGAGGAAGCTCAAGGTCGCTCAGCCAGCTATGGAGAGGGCTATGCTTGGGGTTTCTCTGCGTGATAAACTTAGAAATGAGGATATCCGCAGTAGAACCAGAGTAACCGACATAGCCCAACGGATTAGTAAGCTAAAGTGGCAGTGGGCCTTCCATATAGCTCGAAGAACCGCAACAGGTGGGAAAAAAAGGTTCTCGAGTGGCAGCCTCGTACCGGTAGGCGAAGTGTAAGGCAACCCCCCCCCCCCCACGAGATGGAGTGACGACCTGGTAAGACATGCAGGAAGTCGATAGATGCAGGTGGCTCAGGACCGTGCTTTGTGGCATTCCTTGGGGGAGGCCTATGTTCAGTGGACTTATGAAAGGCTGTAATGATGATGATGATGATGAATTTCCAGGGTAAATCATCAACGTTGGGTCTGCTGGTTGAGAGGCACACG